TCGATAGCTGCATTCGTCACAAGTGGGAAAAATTTAAATCTGCATGGCACTTTACTCCAATTGGCTCATTCGTTTGCTTAAACTCAACATTGATTCTGATTCCGCAGAACTGGGTTGGGTGTGAAAAAGTATTTGTTGTTAACATTCTTTTTTCATTTGGTTTTTCCAGTTACGAGTCCTTTTTTAAAGCTGATCGTTTTGTGTTCATTTTGTTTAGTTCTTTTTTCGTAACAGATTTAATGTTTAGTATAGAGCTTAGAAAAAATTGGCAGTGTGAGATAAGCAAGAAGTAAGGCATGTAGCAACATCAGCATGGCAAAGAGCACTCCTTTAAAGGCAAGGAAGGGCAAAAATATTCTAAGTAAAGTGATAGCGATTGCTGTACGAGTCGTATGATTTTTGAATCAAGCACTGGCAACACTGGGCCACGCTGCTAGTCCCTGATAAAATCTACCTATGTAAAATTTTTACCCAGAACTTCTCCTAAATGGAATCTGTTTGAAGTAGTACCTCTTATATGATGTTATAAATGTGATAAGTTCCTGTGATTTTTTTGTGGAGGACAATTTGTAAGAAATCTCAGTTGCAATTGAGCTTGTAAAATATTGTGGCTTTGTAGAGTTCAGTTTGAAGCTGATCTGTGGTGAGTAGAAGAAATTTCTCCCTTTTCATGCTTTCATTTTGCTTGGTAAAGTTGACACACAATCTGACTTTTTTGAACAGTGACTATTGGGGCATACCAATCCACCGACAATTTCACTTGACAGATTATATCCTCCTCCTCCAAAAGTTTCAGTTCTTTGTGAACTTTCTGTTTTATAGGGAGTGGCAATGGAGAAGAGCTGAGCTCCCACATCCAAACATATCTGATACACATGTTCCAGTTTCCCTAGATCTGTTAACAGTTTGGGGAACTCTTCTTTCTGACTATATTAATTGCTTTCAACAGATTTCAAGGCTTTGATTGCTGGTCCTTCCAGTAGTGGTTATTTGAGGTTCTCTACGACATACAGGTTTTGAGGTGAGCTGTTTTTTTCCTTGGCCAATGTGGCCTCCACACATTTGATGACCTCTATTTCATAATGGCCATGTCCATATAGTCTTTTATTTGTTGGATGACTAGTGAATTTTTCTTGAAATACCAATCCAGAACTATGGTCACATCTGCACCCATATCTAGCCTAAAATTGATGGTTTCGGTACAAACTTTAGTAGTGACCTTGACCATAGCCTGCTAATTTGGTGCATTGTCCTTGCTGACTGCATATATATTTTCTGTAGTGACTGAACCTTGCAAGTGTAAAGTCCCATTTTCCTCATTTATTTCTCTCACTTTCGCATTGTCATTCCTGCAAACAGATGCACAGCATCCCTTCTGCAAACAAATTCTGCAGTGTGCTTCTTTTACTGGGCAGTCATTCCTATTATAGAATGGAAATTTCCCGCAACATGTACATTTGTTAGGCATCGTTTTTTACTTTTGTTTGGAGAAATTATTTTTACATTTCTCTTTGCAACCCAGTTAATGTGAGAGTCTGCTGCATTGGCACCATAGAAAATGGTCTGCGTCTGTTGTTTGGATGTCTTGTGAGCTCTGCCTATTTGCAAGCGCTTGTCTAGAGTAAGCAGTTTATCTGATGGTAACATCTCTAACCCCAACAATGACATGGTCCCAAATAGCTGTCCAAAATTGCAGTTCTTAGCAAGTTGTTGCAGAACAGCTATATATGCTCTCAATCCTTCCTGATGCTTCTCGCTTTCGAAGATGGAATTTATAAAATTCATAGGCTTCTTGCATTTTGCCTATGAAAAATTCCTTAAACTTCTTAATCACTGTCCCTGGGTCCATCTTGTCTTCCTCACAGTCAAATTTCAACCTGTCATATACATTGTTGGCCTCCTCCCTGATAGTCACTAAGAACACAGATGTCTGGTAAGAAGTGTCTGATTCCCTAGACAGCCTACTAGTGATGGAATAGTTGAGAAAATTCTGTTAAAATTTTCAGCAGTTGTTAGCAATGACTCATTCTTTCAGTGGGTGGAATATTGGCAGAGAATTGTTTTCTGTCTGTAAAGACCATTTTGGAAAAAATTGTATTCACAATACTGTTTTTTCTTTTTCTTTTGTTTGGGAATATTGATTCCGTTTTTTTTTTTTTCTTCTTTTGCAAATTATTTAGGTTAATTAATCCTTCATTTTATTTTAAACTGGTCTCTACAAGTTGTTCGGTACCACTTATGACATCATGTAATGTTACCGAGATAGCAATATATCACAGTAGTAGTTTATTGCTGGTCATATAGAAAACTGGTGACAGGGGGCCATAACTGTCTTCTAACCGGTGAACCTTAAGTGACATAACACTACATATAGTAAAGTAAGTTGGGCACCATCTGTGAGAAAAATAGAACCATAATGCAATTCACTTTACCAGAAATTTGGAAATGGCATGCTGCTTCCTATTTGCACCAGAAGTGCCAGCACAAATGTTTCAGCGTGTTTGGGTGACAGTGCAGAGGATTTAGAATGAGTTGGATGAGTTTAATGGTGATTACAAAGATATGGCAGCTCAGAAAACTAACACTGATTCTGCTAAGAAAAGAACTCCCGAATTTGTTAATGGCAGTCTCAGGCTCAACATGAAACCTTACATCAAATTCCCTGAGGAGGTAGTGCTGCCCGGGTTCAAGAGAGTGGCTGTTGGAAGACCCTATATCTGGTAAAAGGACTCAGTGGTATGCCGCACATGCAGGAGAACCCAATCATGGCTGTCAGACAATTTTTGTGGCCATATCACTCCTTACATCTGGCTACCTAACAACCCAGACTGCAAACCCCTTGATTATTATGTGTGGAGCACAGTTGAGTGAGAGACCAACAAAACTCTTTGTAATACCAAAGATGAACTTAAGACAAGGATTATGGCAGAATTCACCAACTTAAACAAGGAGATCATCCAGAAGAGTTGCAGATGATTTTGAAGTCATCAGGAGGCCATAGTTGAAGCCAATGGTGATTTTTATGGAATAAATTTACTCTTTAATAATTCAAGATATTTTTGTGTAATTTTGGTAAATATATATATTAAAATGAGATGTCGGTGTTATTTTCATTTTTGCATAATTTAGATGACAATTTATACATCGCACCTTGTACACTTGTTAGGGGACGTAAATATATAAATAGAAAACCTGGATTAAAAGCTGCAGAAGATAGAAGAATCACAAATCATAGCTGTCAAAGACGAAGACTTAAAAGTTCTGGCCTGAAAATTCAGGAACTTTGTCCATCTTATGAATTTGATAATGAATAGGTAATTACTTTGTTCATCTGTGTTTAATACAAAGAAGTCAGTCATTTACAGTGTTTCTTTGTGCCATGTCCCTTCTAGATTTGGGCTTTTACAGCACTCCAGAACTTCCTATACTTTGTAACTCTTATTAATATTTATCTTTTTACCATCTGTGGTTCTGTAGAAGGATGCTGAAAATACTATGGACTGAACATATGAGCAACAACAAAGTTTTAAGGAAAAATGAAACAAAAAAGGGATGCTTATACTTAGAAAGAGAAAGTTGAAATTTTGGGCACACAAAGAGAAAAGAGAACTTGGAGATTTTTCACTCACAGGACCAACTGAATCTGTGAAGAACAGAGGCAAACAGCAAGTAAGCTGTCTGACAAGGTTGTCTCAATGAATGACAGAATGGTCATCGGTAAGTGGGCCACTGCCTCCTCCTGTACATTTTACCTTTGATAAGACCTGTGATTAGTCTTAAAAATAAAATTCAATGATTGAATTTTACAGTTTGACCATAAATTTATATGAGCAAATATTGATAGTCTGTATTTTTAAGATTACAAATCAGTCTAAAAGTTATTATCAGTGATTTGGAATTAAGGTAACCATTACAGATAGAATAAGGTTATTATATGTATGAAGGGTTGCTGAAAAACTCTTGATACAACCAGAAAGCACTTTCAGAAGTATCTGATAATTGGTTATTCAGTCAGATTTGGGAATATGCATCAAGACAAGTACTTTTCAGCATCCTCTTGGATAATGTAAATGCATTGCTATTCCCTTTTCTATAGAAAGGAATCCCAAATCAGAAAGGGATTGTCAGTGGTCAAGAATTAAAAGGAAAATTACTAATAGAATAGTGCTCTTATCTGTATAATATAAATACAATGGTCTGGTGCTTCTGCTATATATTTAGAGGTATTTGATAAAATCCAAAAATTATTCTTCTATGTTATTGGTACTGATCTGGCATCCCAAGTTCAGTCACTTTCCCATCACTCTAATGTAACTAGCCTGTACCTTATTGTTATACTAGAACATTACCTATTCTATTGTAATAGACTCTCCCACACATAATAAGTAGTAGTAGTAGTGGTCGCCAGTTGGGCTCAGTGGAGTTGAGTGAGTCAGTCGATGTCGGACATTGAAGTATCAACCATCACAACTAGATTGCTGCGTCATTAACTATTATTGCAAGTTCCTAATGTTGTGAACGTCGAACCTAATTTAGGATGACTTAGTGAAATACAAGCCTCCACTGTGAAAACTACTTTACAACACTTATCTATAAATATTTTCATGGTAATTGTTCTGATAAACTATGCTCTATAATACCTATACTTTGTGAATTTTAACACAATACTTGATTGGTGGCAAGGCCTCATCACTTTACATTTGAATTGGCTAGATGTAACTGTAAGTTTTTTGCTAACAGTTTCTTCTCTTGCACTTCTCACCTGTGGAACTCTCTTCTGGTTTTCCTTTGATCTTCAAGAATTCAAATACAATGTCAATTGTTATCTTCTGTCTTCTTGATTCCTCTTCTTTTATTGTTCTCACTCCTTAAATAATGTTTTTCTTATTCTTCCTTTCACACTCAGTGATTCTCTGTGCTTTGGTGGCTTTGTTGCCTTGTTTCTGGAGAAATAATGCCAAAAAAAACACCAGAGAACATCAGCAAACAGCTAAGGTGGCATGTTCCTTGGGAAAGTCAGGAATCCCCTTTTCCATTGCCTTAATAAAAATACCTCTTTACTTTCTTACTTTTCCTCTCTTCCTATTTTGAACTGTTTCTTTTCTTTTTTCTTCTTATTGTGTTGCTTTTCCTCTCTTTCCAAAAGTTTCTCTTTTCTCCTCTTGTCTCTCACCCTCTTCTTCTTTTGTCTTCTCTTCTTTCATCTTTCTTTATGTTCTTTTCTTCTTGCCCTGTCCTTTCTATTCTCTCTCTCTCTGCTTCTAGTCTGTTGTATATTTTCCCTTTCCAAATATTCTTTAATCCTTCTCTCTCATTCTTCTTATCCCCTCTCTATTTCTGTCATCATCTCTCTCTTCCCGACTTCCCTCATTGACTTTATTTTTCATCTCTGTTTCTCAACTCAATTTAACTTTATCTTTTTCTTCTATCTCTCCATTTCTATACTCATTTTCTCTCTCTCTCTCTTTTATATTCCTCTTCTTCTTCTGTCCAGCACACATTTCTTCTCACTTGACCTTCTCTTGATATGACTTTGTTTTTCTCTTTCTTTTGTCTTGCTTTGTCATTGTCTCTTTCTGTCTGTTTTAATTTCTTTCTCATTGTTTCTTCTGATTTTATATCACTCTCTTTTTCTTCATCTGGTTTTGTCTCTTTCTCTTTGTTTCAATTTGTTTCTTTCTCTTTCTTTTCATCAGACTTTATCTCTTTTTTATTTCTTTGCTTCATTCTCTTTGACAGACACTCTGTTTCTTTGTCTTTTTAACTTTTCATATTTGTTTCTTCCTTTTTCTGACTTTATCTCCTTCTCTTTCTTTCTTTGACTTTCTCATTCTGACTTTTTCTCTGTCTGACTTTGTCCCTCCTCTCTCTTTCTGACTGATTCTCCTTCTCTCTGACTTTGTCTGTCTTTTTCTATCTGATTTTCTGACAGCCTCTTTCTTTCTGACTGTCTCTCTTTATCTAATTTTCTCATTCTCTTTCTTATTTTTTCACACTCTTTCTTTTTCTGACAGTCTTTCTCTTTCTGACTTTGTCCCTCTCTTTCTGACTTTGTCTCTCTTTCTCTCTTTCTAACTATGTCACTCTTTCTGATTTTCTCACTCTTTCTTTCTTTCTCTTTCCATTTCCTCTCTGTTTCTAACATTGTCTCTGTCTCTCTCTAGTTCTGGGTTTTTCCCTCTCTTTCTCTTTCTGACTTTGTCCCTCTTTTTCTCTTCATTACTTTTTTCTTGCTTTTTATGTCTTTGTCTTTTTCCTTTGTTATTATCTCTCTGTCTTTCTCTCTTTGACTTTATCACTTTCTTCAACTTTAATCTCTCTTTATTTGTCTTATTCTTTCTATTTCTCCCACTCTTTCACCCTCTCATCTTTCATGACAAAAAAAAACACCCACAATCACAGTAGGGCAGTAGGTATAACCATAGTTTGATTAGTGGCTAGGTGTGTGCTGGTTGCAACACAACAGAGAGAGAAAGAGTGAGATTGTGTTGAGATAGTCTCTCTCTTTTTGTCTCTTTCTCTTTCTGACTTTGTCTCGCTTTTTCCTTCTTTCTTTCTTTCTTTCTTTCTTTCTTTCTTTCTAACTTTGTCTCTCTCCGTCTTTCTCTTTCTGAACTTCTCACTTTTTCTCTTTCTTTTTATTTCTTTGACTTCATCTATTTCTTCCGCTTTAATCTCTCTTTATTTGGCCTATTCTTTTTATTTCTCCTTCTCTTTCACCCTCTCCTCATCTTTCATGACAAAAAAACCACCCACAATCACGGTAGGGCAGTAGGTATAACCATAGTTTGATTGGTGGCTAGGTGTGTGCTGGTTGCGACAGAACAGAGAGAGAAAGAGTGAGATTGTGGGTGGGTGGGTTCTCATAGTTTTCAGTTCAGTTTGTCAGATTATAGGTACTCTGCCTGATGTCTTTCTGCTTTGTTCACCCACACAGCTACCAGGAAATGGCATTGATTGGAAACTTTGATGGATCTTTATGGCCTTCTGTGTCACAGGCCGCACTTCTTTCTTTCTTTCTCTCCAACAGGCGTTCATGTGTCTCGCGTCAGCCAGGTTTTGTGGCAATCACATGTGATTCTTTGATCGCACTGATCGATCGCATCTTGAAGTCATTAAAGCATTGCCAGTCGCAGACACCACTTTGCCAGAGATTGTGGCAAAAATCATGGCTGGAATTGTAGCAGAAGGATAAATGAATAAAGAGAATGGATTTGGTGGGTGGGGTATATGGAAGGAGGGTAGACTAGATTTTGAACAGCAAAATGTTTAGTGGGGAGATTTTTCTCATATGATCATTATCTTTTCAGGATAAAATATATTCAGTTCTTTATATATTTCTCTGCTTGCAAGAAATTTTATGGAATTAAAAGGCATTAAAATTAATGATATATGATATATTAATAATATATGATGTAGTAATTATTAGAAAGTAGTAGCAATGAAAATTAACATTATTGAAGGCATAACACTAATATTAATGACTAATTGTTTATTTAACTCAAGGTATTCATTTGTTTATATTTCTGAGATGAGGTATTGTAACTATTTACTTTGTTCATGTATATGGCAATAAAGATACAGACAATGTAAATAAGCAAGATATTTAGTTGATTAAGTTGGATAATTTAATGATGTATCAAATCTCATTTTGCTATTTAAAGTCAAATATAAGTCTTAGAGGACAAAAATCACAATGATAGGTACACATTGGTTTGTTTTGTACAAAGTTTAAAAAAAAATAGCTAGATATAAGTCTCATCTATACATAACTCTAAATGGTAAACAGAGGTCTGGTTTACATAAGAATCCAAAAGATAGACATATGTATGCTCTACACATGAATCTAAAATGTAAAAATAGACCCAGTCTATAAAAGAGTCAAAAAGATAGATATATGTCTACTTTACAGTTGACTCTAAAAGCTAGATGTATATCTGCTTTACACTTGACTCTAAAAGCTAGACATATGTCTGCTCTACACTTGACTCTAAAAGCTAGATGTATATCTGCTTTACACTTGACTCTAAAAGCTAGACATATGTCTACCCTACAGTTGACTCTAAAAGCTAGATGTATATCTGCTTTACACTTGACTCTAAAAGCTAGACATATGTCTGCTCTACACTTGACTCTAAAAGCTAGATGTATATCTGCTTTACACTTGACTCTAAAAGCTAGATGTATATCTGCTTTACACTTGACTCTAAAAGCTAGACATATGTCTGCTCTACACTTGACTCTAAAAGGTAGGTATAGGTCCAGTTTGTATCCAAAAGGTAAGCAGAGATCTGCTTGGTACTTGAACCAACAAGGTATGTATAGATCCAGCTCACAAAAAAGTTAGAAAGGTAGACATAGGTTGAATGTAAACCAAAGTCTGAAAGTATTCCTTTAGATGAGCCTTTGGAACTTGTGCGTGGGTGTAGGGGGTAATATTCTGCATCAGATGCAGCCAGTATGTTTTAAGCACCATTGTACAGAGCAGCATGATATTGTTTATAACTTTGAGAAGTCATCTTTTTGGTGATAACTTTATCACTTCTAAAGATGGTTATGGAATGAATTGGTCCAAGCATTGGACTCACAAGAAGAGATTAACTTACTTAAAAATGTTGGAATGGATAGGATTTATTAAATAAATCCATCAAAACTTTCTTTCACTACCATAATTAACACAATATATACTATAAGTATCTATCTATCTATCTATCTATCTATATATATATATATATATATATATATATATATATATATATATATATATTCAATAACCAGATAGGTAATAATATGATTACCTTATATACCACCGGAGGAGTACAATTTGACAAGTAAACCAAACTTGCACAGTTAGATCATCCAGCCAAGATCTAAAAATCGCAAAAAAAGATTCAACCTGGAAAGGCTTGCCAGTATAGCCAAAAAACACTCAATAACAAGAGAAACTGGTCTCATGGTACAGGAGCTGAAGCATTAAGCCAAAAGAGTGCTCAACAGAACCAAATTCAGACTAGAGCATATATGATTCCAAGGTTTGGATAAACAGCTCTAAATATTGAAGATTGTGTGCATGCACATGAAACTTAAAGTAGTGGCCAGTCATTGCCTACCTGGTTAATGAATTAATATTCAAATGATCTGTCATTTTTATGGCATAGGGCACTTTTATGCCAGTGGGATAATTTTGGGCAGGCTCTATTTAGAGCTGCTTATTCAAACCTTTTATATATATATATATATATATATATATATATATAGTACCAGAGGAAATTATTGCATTGCAAATTATTTTACTATAAATATTCATTACAAATTATTTTACTATAAAAATTCATTGCAAATTATTTTACTATAAAAATTCATTGCAAATTATTTTACTATAAAAATTCATTACAAATTATTTTACTATAAAAATTCATTGCAAATTATTTTACTATAAAAATTCATTGCAAATTATTTTACTATAAAAATTCATTGCAAATTATTTTACTATAAAAATTCATTGCAAATTATTCACACTAGAAGTCCATTGTAATTATAATACAAATACATGAAAACTTTTATTCATTCTAATGCTTATTATATAATATACAGCAAATATTATAGAAATGCATTGCAAATTATTTTACTATAGAATGCATTTCTCATTGTTTCATAGCTACATATGTATCCTGTAATCATCAATTTTATATTGTATCTAAGAATTTCTTCTTTGCTTATTGCTTCCTCTATAGTGATTTTCTAAGCAGACAGAAGGCAATCAGCCAGAATTTAAATAAGTATTACTGATAGAAAATGTTTATTGTAAGTGTAATTTTCAGGTTGAAACACTGGTTACCATATGATAACGAAATTTAAGCAACAGTGAACCTGGTCAGCAGCTAGATGGCTGACCGATTGGGAATACCTGGTGCTGTGAACTTGGATGTGTGGGTGGTGTAATGGATAATGTCTCAGAATTGTTAATTGGAGAGTGGAGTTCTAATTCCCATTACATTCGTACTATTTACTTAAATGCAACCGCCCTTGCAAAAGATATGAATCCACCTCTACTTACCCCCCACCAGCTATGGGTTTAGTAAGACTTGTATCATTAAACCATTATTATATATAAAAAAAGAAAATAATAATTCTTATAATCTAAAAATATTTTCTGTCTTTAAATAACCAGCAAAGGGTTGATAAGCTGTAGAAAATGAATCTATCAATTAGTCAAAAAAAAAAAAAAAAAACTAAAGTTGGCTTCACCCTGCATAATGCTATTGTACAAAGAAACCCTGTAAGGATCAAACTCAGTGCACAAGCAATAATTTTAAAAAATACTTCACTCACCAATGATGTACATAGTGCAATGGATAAATTATCATCTAAATTATGCAAAAATGAAAAATAACACATCTTATTTTAACAGATACATTTACTAAATTTACACAAAAATATCTTGAAATACTAAAGAGTAAATTTATTCCATAAAATTGTCATTGGCTTCAACTACGGCCTCCAGACGACTTCAGAATCTCCTGCAACTCTT